TGGGGGGGGGGGGTCCATGGACCTGCCCCCCACACCTGCACGGCTGCCCACAGCAGATCAATGGCTCGGGGTGCTTTTGAGTAGTTTAATCGATGTTTCTTGGGTGCAGGGGGTGAATGAGCCGTTCATCTGAGCGGCCGTGCCTAGCTGCAGCTAGCGGGGAACGATTTCAGGTCACACTTTGTTATTTTCTTATACAAACGAGGGAAATTTGGGCATCCCTGTGAGGTGGGGATGCGATGACTGTGGGTTGCTGCACTTCTTGTGAGACCAAACACAGACACGGACCTTCTCTGCCAGTCCCAGCCTGAGCCCAGCGGTGGCCACCGGCCAGGAGTTTGGCCAGGATGCCCTGGGCAAGTGTTGCTGTCACACTCCCCTGCCCATTGCTGCGTTTTGACCCAGCTGGTGGCAGGTGGCCTCTTCTGCTGGTGCAGCCTCCAGAGAGAAACCAAACAGTTGGAAGCAGAAATAAAAATCCCTCCAGGTTCACTGGACGCACAGAGGCTTGGCTGGATTTGCCCAAACAAATGGGGCAAACACCCCCAGTGCTGCCTGCAGGGTCTCGCTGCCAGCTCCATGGCCACCAGATCGATCCTGTCTTTCCCAAGAATGTTTTTAGGAGGATTTTTGCACAACTGATGTCTCCCAGCCGTGCTCCATCCCACAGTGATGCGCTGTCCCGCCGGGCACAGCGGGGAGGGAGCCGAATGCAGCCGCTGAGGAGGTGCGGGCAGTTTCCTGAGTGCAGGATGGAGCTGGCTGAAGCGTGGGGGACCCGCTGGCCCCCACACCAGCCCCCCTCCAGAATTAACAGTCCCGTGGGGAGGGGGACAGCTGAGCTGTCACCTGTTGGAGCTCAGACACCGCAGCTGCGTCCGGCACCACCCGGCTCCTTTGAACCCACCGGATTAGGCAGAGGAAAGTGCCACGCATGCACTTGTGCTCCGCATGCCAATGCCTTCCTCCTCCTCCTCCTCCTCCTCCTCCCAGTGCTCTTACAAGCCACGCAGCCACAGCCTCCCCAAGCCAACATCTTGTCCATTTGGCATCTTCCGCGCCAGCTCCTCGCTGGTTTGGGGACAGTCAGGACCTTTTGGGTGCTGGGGATTGGAGCCCCGTGAGCTGGCGGCTGCCCCCCGCAGAGCCCTGGGTAGGAGCAGCAGGGATCTGCTCTCAACTGGAGCAGGCACAGTGGTGATGGAGGTGGGAGAGCCTCTGGGTGAGGGCCAAAGCACCTTCAGCATTTGGGACACTAAGTTCAGATCTGCTGAGCTTTATCCTTTGTATCCAAAACAGACAAAACCATAGAAAATCCAGGGAGGGGGGAAAAAAAAACATCATTTTTTTAACTTTGGGAGAGCCACAATCTGCATGTGGACACTGCACATTTTTTTTCCACTCCATCTTTTCCCATCATGTTCCCAACTTCCTACCGTAGCCCTCTCAGGGGCCGGGGTGATGGGTGACAGCCCTGGCTCCGCAGATGTCCCCTCTGTGGTATGGCCAGGGTGGGCTCCTCTTGCCTCTCGCCTTGTGGAGCTGCTGCATCTCCAGTTGGGGTGCGCTGGGTCCCCCAGTTTGGGTACATGCTGCCCTGTGCTGCTCTCCCTTTTGTGGGGATGGTGGAGCATGGGGCGGCTCATGGGGGGCAGCTGTGACCCACCTGGGTGGCTCCGTCAGCCACCACAGCACGTGTTGTCATGATGTTCCCAGCTCAGCAGAGGACAGGGGGACATTGGGTGTCTGAATTCTCCACTCACCCCAAAAACCACCCCCATCCCTTCCCATCCCTCCCTTACATGCCTGCGTGACGCCTCTCTCCTCACGCTTCTATTTTATCTTATTTTCCTCAATCTGAAATTCAAACCCATGGAGACACCAAACCCATTCCGCAGTTTGTCAGCAGCAGCCAAGCTGTCACTGTGACCTCACCGAGCTCAGCGTGAGGGACCAGGACTGGGACCGAGGCTTGGCCTCAGTTCCCAGGAGTTTGTTTCTTGAAGTGCAGGATTTGGCCTCTGTTTTTAAAAGCAGAGAGAGAGTGGTTTGGGTCTATAGGTTTTTTTTGTTTAAAAAAAAAAGCTTTCTTCCCAGTACTGTACTTTTTAAATTACCCAGTTTTGCTATCTGTTCCCCACGCTCATGCTTTTGGTCTATTTAAGAGCAAGAGTGTAACATTAAGGTGATTTATAGCAATCTCTGGAGTGGAAGGGCAGAGACTTGGTATTTTTTTCCTTTTCCTCAGGTGAAAGAAAACCTCGAATGTTAACTCACGAGACATTACAACGACTGCTCCGTCAATCCCTGATTTACGACCTCAAATTTATGAGTTAAAAATTATTATTCCACTCGCATATATTTTTTCCCTTGGCCGTTTTAGTGCTTGTGAAAGGTGAGGGGTTTGACAGCTCCTGGAAACAAAAGCCTTTAATATCTCCCCGAGCAAGGCTCTCCCAGGCAAGAAGAGAGATGCCAGGAGGGCTTTTCCTCCCTGCTGCAGATATTAGTCACTCCAGGCCGGTCTTAACCAAACAGAGCGGATAGTTTGCTTGAGATAAGCCAGGACTAATTAGCAAAGTCCGTTCTTGGTGCCTGGGGAATCCTCTGGGATTATCCTCAGTGGCCAGATCAGCGCTGGACTGGAGGGTGAGGCTGGGTGTGGAGGACGTCTACCACATCCCCCTCCCCCTCCCAACATTTTCAGACCCCTCCCAAATTTTTTTGGACACCTCCAGACTTGTTGGCAATGACACAAGGGGACTTGGGCTCTGTGCCGCGTGGCGGTGGCAGGTCGCCCTCCTCTGAGGTTGCTCTGGGATTATTTTTAATCACTTTGGTGAAGTACCTCCCCTCTCCACCATCCCCCAAGTGACACCAACATTTTGGGCCTAAACTAAACTGGCAGCAGTCTTTAAAATATAACACGCGTGAAATACCAGGGAGCAAAAAATATCCTCTTTAAAGCATATGTTGTGCAGTGGCTTAGAGAGACGGGGGATTAAAACCTTAGTGGAGCTTGGGAAATAATGCCAGAGCCCCTGCTGCACTTCATTAAAGTACATTTTTGACGCAGCTTGCCTTATTCAATAACAATTTAGTTGACCAAAAACTGAATCGAAAGGGACAGGCAACTGTGTAGCATTTTGTTGCATTTTCATTTTCAGCATTTTTTCATGTCAATTTGCCATCTGCTGCCCCAGCGGCTGGAAGGCAGCTATGGGCCAGGGGCAAGGCTGAGCCTATCTCAAAGTAATGGAGAGTTTGTGTGTGTGTGTGTGTGTGTCCCAAAATAAAAAAGCAGCTGGAGTTGGGGTTGAGCTGGTGCTCCTGCAGGGTTGGCTGGGCTGGATACTGAGGCTCAGCACCATGTTCACCTCGCCACCAGCTTCTCTGCTCAACCCACAGCCAC